TGTTAATTCAAACTGAGTAGTTTTGAAACCAGATCGTTGAGTCCAACCTGTCAACCGGTGTCATCATCAGAGTTACGTATGAGGTATGTCCGAAGTGTCCATTGACAGGACACGCATGTGTCTTTCTGTATAGCCCGCTCGAGTCGCTAGCCTCAGTCACTGTGAACGGATATGCCCACAATCATCGACACGAACATGAAGGACTCAGATACATGTCCCATTAAATTTTTTGTGGAACATCTTCTGATTCACAGTTACATGACCAAGCTTCAGATGATGATAAACTGCATCCCTTGTTGAAATCCTAGGAAGATATTAGCTGTCCAGTATGCAAGCCCCGAAACCTTCCTGGGGTGGTGTTTAGATAACTCAGAGTCGTTATCTGTGATACAATAGCTGATGTCAACTTTGCAAAGTCCTTATCACGAGATAATGACTTAATACTTTCATCATAGAGGAGGACGTCTAATATGCAGGAATATTGAGTTCTTGAAAATTGCGGGGGATAAATGACGAGGAGAGCATTAACTCTAATTGAAGTGCAACCCTATTCTTTCACATTTCTATCTCAAATTCACGTCCATATTAAGTTTAATTTAGAAGCAACGTGTTCTTAAGTATGATAATAACCTAACTTGACTTGGTTACAAATCTCAGTTATAAAATCAGTTGTGTCAAGTTCCAACAGCGACATCTCCGCTTCCTGACAGGGTAATTCTTGTGCCGCTCCTGCTACAAGTGCTATCCCCCATGGAGCAGGAATAAATGAGCACAGATAGTTCATCAACTATGAAAAGTGTTCAAAAGTCGTTTTAAAATGAAATCACTATACTTTTAATGCCATAATGACTTGAGCATTATCACGTTTAATTGGCCAGCAAGACATATTCTATTTACAGTAGTAAACTGGAGCTATAATGTCCGACATTGAGAAGTAGGGTATGTTGAGCATGTGGCACTGTGATGAAACGTTTACATGCAAATTACAATCGTTTTTTGCCTTAATCCTGTATAACAAATGTAGCAATTCGAGAGTTACGTGAAGCTGCTGTCGAATATTTGGTCCATATACATTCAGATTTAGCTGCAAAAACGGAAAGACTCCTTCAAGATTTCATTTCCTTATATCCAAACTTATCCATTCATATGAATAGCTTTACCAGTTCTCTCTTCGGGGGATTGGAATTGACTTCGTTAGAGAAGATTAATGGCTACAGTAGCCTGTTTTATTGTGTGTAAAGGATCACCCCCTACTGTAGTAGCGTTCTTCTAACATGCCCTGTTACAGCTGGAGAACATGCGTCAGAGAAGTAGGGAGAGGCAGGTGCGTGTCGGTATGACCACAAAGCAGTTGTATTGACAGATCGATGGACATGTCGGTACAAATGTATTGGCATCGGCACAACTTTCCGGTAATTTCAGCTGAATGGTTAACCACATTGGTAATTAATCGCGAACGTAATAAATAGCTTGGATGTTAAGGTTGGGTCTTTATTCGTTTGGTCTTAGATTTAGAAGTTTATAACGGCAGAGAATATAAAACATCAAAGAAGCATGATTATCCAGGGGATGGTTTGCTTTTTGTTGGGTATAACTGGGTAGGTGTAGATAGGTCGGTGACATATGTACTGTGTGGTCGGGTGCTCAGTTGTCATATAAAAATAGCGCACTACTAACGAGTAAATGATTAGGTGTGTTGTTTGGGGGTATTGGGGGATAGCGTATATTCTAGTGGTTAAAGCGTTCGCTCGACACCCCGAAGACCGGGTTCGAGTCCCTACATGGGTACAGTGTGTGAAGCCTATCTCTGGTGTACCCCGCCGTGATATTGCTGGAATATTGCTAAACGCGGCGTAAAACTCAACGCACTCACTCACTCAACCCATGCACACATATTCACATACACACATACATAATTACACATACTTATGCTTGTGTGTGGTGACATACATTCGGTGTATATATGACGTTTAACGCAAACATGCATGAACAAATGAGTATGTTGAGGAAGTAGTATTACCCAAAGCATATTAGATCTCTTCTTGTAAGTTATGTCAGGTGGAGCATATCATAGCTGCCCTTTTCGCGAACACCTGGTGTCATGAATGGTTCTCACTGATATAAGTACATATATGTGACCGCTATTGTATTTATATGGGATCTATTTTGCCGATGAGGGAGATCGGGCATCATCCGCCGTTAGCTTTTTGTATTAGCAGTGAACAGGCGGGATTGCATCTCGCAAAATACTTGCTACATCTGCTACCAACATGGATACAGGATACGAGCATATGCTAATGGATGTCATAAATACATATGTGCCGTTCGTAGATATGACTCATTATCTCCCGTGTATAAGGATTATTTCTAGCGCTGGAGATAATTATCAGATGTCTTGCTTGTGTATGTTATCAAAGCTTTATATATGAAGATATTTTGTTGATATTACACTGTCAGTGCAAAGTAAATACGAACCTTTGTCTTGATATGGGAGATAACCCAAGTTACGGAGTCGTGCGTGGCTGCGCTTCCAGGCGCCATTTAACAGCCTCTTTAGAAGCAGTCATCGTAAACTTAGAGATGCCACCTATGCTCACGTAGAATCACCCCCTACTGCATGATGGAACCGCTGGTAAGGCAAATACGAAATACACCTGAATCGTCCTCAAGAAAACAAATAGAAAGGGTATCATATCTTTATTCCCAATGTCGATATGAAAATACATATATATTTTCTTCTTGTTGTTCTTCTAAAACGATAACAAAAAGTTACTGACTGACTGACTGAGTTTGGTTTTACGCCGCTTTTAGCAATATTCCAGCAACATCACGGCGGGGGACACCAGAAATGGGCTTCACACATTGTACCCATGTGGGGATTCGAACCCGGGTTTTCGGCGTGACGAGCCAACGCTTTAACCACTAGGCTACCCCACCGCCCAACAAAAAGTTAAGCGCCACTAGCATTACAACAAAAGTAAACAGCCGTGATTAATGAACGTGGATTTATACGTCATTCCTTCTCTAGTATGAGATTGTTCTGTATTGATCTGATATCCTATAGGTGACTGGGACGGTGGAGTAGCCTAATGGTTACAGCCTCCGCTCTGAATACATGTATTTTTACAGTTGAAAGAGATTTCGCTTTTAGAGTCACATCTATACATTACATGCATCCACACAAAACAAGAACTTATCGTGTTTGTAAGGCACTGAGGCAATACAAAAATAAATAGGAGATAAGACATAGCCTTGGCTACGCCCACTTAAAGTTTGCAATTAAACCGTTACATTGGTAATACTGACTTTGTGATGTTGTTTAGACTAATAATAATACTATAATAAGTCATCTTCTATAGCGCACAGTCTCCAAACACCCAGTTATTGCTTGCGGCGCTTAATCAGAATCTGATTCTTATTACCCCGGATAACCCAAGCTGCCTTTTAGGCGCTAGAAGGTTATAGTCACATGACTTTATCCAACCGGGTATCCATTTTCGGCTGGGTGAACAGAGGCAATTTGAACAAACTCACTTGCCTAAGGTGAGACCACATGCATCACATGTGCTTCTTTGTGGGACAGGACTGAAATCCTAGAACCTCTCAGGAGTCAAGCTGCCAAACACGCCCAAGGATTGTCCGAGCTCGACGTTGCTTAACTTCAACTGATTCGTGACCTGAGCACTGTGCACAGGACCACTACCAATGAGATCTATGGATGTTTTGGTGAATACAACACTATTTATCCATGCTCCGACAAAAAGTGCAACAGATACATTCACTGTGTCTGCACACTTCGATGTTATCCTTATTTTCATTCACAACTCTGGCAGAAGCCAACATGACGAGAACTGATAGTGACTTTTATGTATACAAATGCTCCACCACACTGGTGGCCAATATTGTTCATGCACACTCCGAATAGCAACATCTCTGTTGTTTTAAAATTAGTTTTAAGCGATATAAAAGTTCAGATACAGAATTAAGTATTTCTTTTCATAACATTCTAGCAACAGGTGTCGCTTTTTATGTTGTTTATGGGGATGGTATTTTGATGTTCAATTATTCAAGCGTTACCCGGTCAAATGTAACATTTGTTTCTCTGGTACTCATTGAGTAGATTCAAGATACTGTGAGATAATCAGCTAGTTTTGTCGTAACAGATATATAACACAGGCGTTGAACAAAAACACAATGTATATGTACAATAGTAATGTCGTGGTTGAAGGTGTAAAAAACATGACTCATCACACCGGACTTATTTGCCTGGCGGGTTCAACTACAGCTGCAAAAACAAATATATGCTTTAGTTAAACTTAGACCTTTGAACCTAGATTGCATTTTTTTAAATAACTTATGTAGATGTACATGGTGTGGCAGCAATATTTCATTCAGCCTGTACCAATGATCGGCCAGACCCTTTGTTTTTAAGTATTGTTGTGCAGGACTGAAGCTGTTGTAAAGTGTCATCTCAACGTTTCTGTAAATAGAATTGATTCAACAACCGCTAATGGGTAATGCACATAGAAACATGTAAAAAACTCGTCGCATTATCAAGAGTATTAGAATGTATTAGAAACATAAATTTCTTCTCAAAAACGTGAATGTTTGCGCAGCACGTTATCAGGATTACAGGATGTCTAGCTTGATCGGATTGGAATTGACGTCTCTTCGTGTGTTTGTTTCCAGTCTGCCATCATCAGGAGAGTCAGAAGCAGTCTTTGCAAAAACTGCTGGTGTTGTGTTATGCCTAAAGGCGGAACAGTTTTAATGCTTTGGGATTATTGTGTAGTGGGATTTACCGCGGCCATGTCGGTAAATTGTTACAGGAATTTAAACTGCCGTCGTTAGCAATGTTAAAAACTGGCACAACATGTTTCAATTGTGTATCCTTGCTAATCGGTAGCTGACACTTTATGTTTCTTATTTGGGTGACTTTTGTCAATATTGCTGAATTATTTATGTGCCAACTTAACATCCCACTCATTTGGATATTTCAGGTAGCCATGACAAAGATGCACCGCCTTGCGAGAGGATGCCAGAAAGTCTTGGATGAAGAAAATGCGCTGCACCTGTAACACAACGGAAGATCATCGAGGCCTTGTTTATTCTCCTCAACGGGCACCTGCTGTTACGTTTGTCCACGGGAAGATGGCTCTATGTTAAACAGAAGACATAAATACCACCCACTCTAGTAGATCCGAAGGTTTAGCTATCTGGGGATGGAGATTCGTGTACTTCCAACTGAATGTGCTGGATGTGTACTGGATATCAATTGTGAAAGTTGTTGATATTGCTGATCTAGGAATTGTTACATCTCTGAAACCTGTCAACAAACATGGAGGTGAATGAATCCCAATATAGCCTTTCTAGCTCCAACAGAACCGAGCAAGCGGACTATGAAGTGTATTTCTTTGTCCTTACCCATGCCAGATCGTTCAGAATTGGAGGTCTTTGTGTCGCGATTCTTGGATTCATTGGAAACACGTTAGCAATCATCGTCCTCCAGAGGAAGAGAATGTGGTGCAGCACTGCATACTTTCTCATCCTTCTAGCTCTGTATGACAACATAATCCTCATAGCTGCTATCTGGCAAAGTGTCTCCTACTTGCAGAGTAACAGCGACACAAGCATTGTGATCCACAAGGTGGCCTATGTGTTATTCATCCCTGTAAGTTACATTGCCCAAACCGGAACAATCTTTATGACACTCGTGGTGACCATTGAAAGATATGTCGCCGTCACTAAGCCGTTCAAAGCTCGCATCATATTCTCTCTTTCATCAGCGAAGAAGATTTCATTAGGAATATTTCTGTGGTGTTTGGTGTACAATATTCCTCATTATGTTGCCTTGGATCTATCCTATACCACTGTGACAAACAATGTTCATTTGTCAGAGTTTGGAAAGCAGTATGTGTACCAAAAAGTTTACAGCGTTTATATACAGCTTCTGGCGATGTACGTTTTACCGTGGCTGGCAATGACTGTGTTTAATATTTTATTACTACGATGTGTTAAAAAGATTACTATGATTCGCCATAATTGTCATTCCAAGAGTGCCGCTGACGATGGCCGTCGGCTAACTTTGCCGGTCATTGCCGTGACGACGGTATTCTTCCTGGCATATCCATTCCCAGCATTCGAGGACACTTTCTGTAAACTATTCGACCCTTCAGAGGTCGGCTTAGATGACACATGTGGAGTTAAAATGAAGATATTGTTCGAGCTGATTAGTGATATAGCCAAAGTGTTGAATTCTGCAGCCAATTTCATATTCTACTGTTTACTCGGCCGGAAGTTCAGGAGGACCTTCCTGCATCTTGCAAGCAGTTGGAGACGTCGTATGTCAACTGTGGTGGCCAAGTCGTCCATGGCGTTTGACAATCAAGCGACACTGTCGAAAGCAGCGGCGTCAGTATATTTGGACAGAGAGCTTAGTCTCCGTCACGACATCAACGATGTGTAAGGAGACTCTACTCAACTGTTCAATGGAGAGGCACAGCCAGACAGTGCTTAGGGAGTAATTGGCGCAATCTGTCTGAGAAGATACGGCTTACTTAATCACCTTAATTACATAACACAGTCTGAAACCTGTGAAGTGTATGTGGGATGGTGTCAATGTTATAATTAACTACACTGCTTATCAACAGTGTCGTCATCATTTGCATCCAGTCTGCTGAGACGTAGACGCTTCACATGACAGCCACACATCATTTGAGGGCGGGACCTGCACGACACACAACGTCAGGGTGGCAAGTGTATGTCTATCTTATGATGGTTTTCAGATTGTCAGATCGAGTAATATCTTTGTCTTATTTTCAAGACATGGTGATACTTTATTTTCGGATCGGAATTTGTATTTTATGATAATAACTATGTTTACATTTTAGAAGCATGTCGACGCACGTTGACTGTTGCCTGCCATGGCATCTTGATGTCAAGGATAACTTGTATCCTGGGCTCTTATATATGCTCGCGCTCAGTGTCATAAAGCACGTGTCAAGCTTGTGTGTCATTCGTCATGCTGAGGAATAATATTATTAAAGAAAGAGAGAAAGATACGTCTTCAGTTTGCTTCTTTATATCATGTATGTGCGTATGTGTGTGTGTGTCCGTCTGTTTCTCTCTATCCATAATTACCTGCTGTACATTAACTAAAATACCATGTCTGAATCAATTTGACAGCATATCTTATATCAGTGTGAGGGTTCCCTTGGACTTTATACTCCAACTCAGTTTCTAAAGTTTCCAGAGTGTATAAAAAGTACATGTATGTCTCAAGTTTCGTATGATTAGGAAATCGTTATCATATTTAGGACGAAAACTGTAGATAAATATGTAAGAGTTATTTAAGTATGATATACTCTCCCAAAATGAAACGCATGGGTGTATTTGCACGAATTGAATCTGCTAACTTTAAGTGCGATAACACAAATTTCACAGTATAGAAGATAAAATGTCCCATAAAATGAACAGCTTATAAAATGTTCAATAAGGGAAGGCGTCCGTTCCAGGTGGACGTTGTCTTCAATGTATTTTGTGATCGCCATGAGCCCTCCAAACTGCTCAGCATCGTTTCGGCATGGACTGGATAAGTTTTTGGAAGCACTGTAATATCTCCATACTGAATAGTGGCATGTGTTGTGTGAGGCCTTGCATCACTTGCTGGAAAAATTCCCTCTGGCGGTCGAGGATTGGAACCATGTGAATCCTTAAGACTTTGTCTCTGTACCGGATAGCAGTTAAATAGCTCTGGCGGCGCGCAAAGTTAGATTTTTGCGTGTAGGATATGGCTCCCCGCATCATGACACCTTCACCACCATATCGGTCAACCTGGACGACACAATTCTGGGCAAAACGTTCATTTCGACGTCGAAGGACACGTACTCTTCCGTCACGACACTGAAGCAGAAAGCGTGATTCTTCACTGATCGATACACGTCGTCAGTTTTGTAGATTCCAGAATCAAACGGCACTGCACGACCGGACCAGTCGACGTCGATGTAGTTGTCGAAGCACAGGACCAAAATGGGGTCTTCCGGCTTGAAGTCCAGCTTCTCGTAAACGTTTACTAATGGTTTGAAATTTCATAGATCTGTATCACATATGCGTTTCTTTTTGGTTAGAGTATACGAATTAACGATAAAACCATCAACACCAACGACTAATGATCTATCTATATATTAAGGTTACAGCTTCTAGTAAGTCTTCATAATACTTACTTCATATAATGACAGTAGTGGGTGTTATGAAAATTACGTGAGGAGCATTCAGTTCATTGCCGTAAAGCCTCGTCCAGACCAGAGTCCCATTTATGACTTTAATTACGTCCCTCGGTGGCTTATTCAGGACGCGTCCACAGGAAAGGTCATTCATTAATCCCGTCCCGTCTGGGTAGTCATGTCCCACATAATCCAGAGTGTAAATCACCTTAACGGTGAAGTATCTGTTAGACTGCATAATCAGAAACCGATCATGCACATCCCATCTGCCAGATTGCGACAAGCCGTGAGAAGCTTCTTATGCATGTTAGTGCGCTCAGCTTATTTCCACTTTGAACAGTATTTCTGACAAACCTTGGCATATAATCGGGACAGATAGGACATTCGAACAATGACAAGGCTTTAATATACATGCCTATAATGGTTGTCACCCCCCACCCCACACCCCCTCTCCAATTAAAAAAAATTAAGGGGGTGACAACCATTATTGGCATGAGTATGTTAATACTTCACTGAGATGCATTGAGCCAGTAGGCACTCAGGCAGGGTATACACGCATCCAGATAGGTGTTGATTTGCTGCCCAAACACTGAGATGCAACTGATGATTTGTACAGCATCATTAAATATATCCGTGTATAAAACACCTGTTTAGGCAGTACCTGCATTTCTACATTGCATCTACACTTACAAACTGGACTGGTTTCTTGTGATATTCCTGAAATATCTTCAAGATGCTTGGCTGTACCCTCAAAGGGGGTTGATGTAGCGTAAAATTATTGTCCTCCTGAGAGGGTATGTAAGTCCCGAAACATTCAAAGGAAATTTAAATATTACCAGCTGTTTTAAATGTAGTATTCTTGTCATTTTAATTTTGGCTAAATTTGACTTCAGTCGCCAGCGGCTGAAGGGGTGATATAAATCACTAGGGTCCATGCAGGTAGCAAAAGTACTGTAAGTCCCCATGGTCCCTAGTTTGGTGATCTACCTTCACTTGTTGGCGATCTATAGCCAGTTTTTATATTATTGTCCAAATAGTGCTATTAGTTTTAATTTTCCACACTAGTTTTAGTTGTAATTGTGATATTCTAGTTGTTTTACTGTCCTTCGTCGACAGGTTTTTATAATATACATCTATTCCATTTCAGTGTCACATATGTTCTCGTCACGATATGGCTGTAATATTGCCGATGTGACGTTAACTAATAACTCACTCACTCACTCACCCACTTCAAGATGCTGCCGATGTTAAAACATGAGTCGAATTGTTTGCATCAGTAAATAATCACAATGTATTTGATATTTGTAACCAATCCTTAATGTTGTCCGTGTTATTTCAATGCCCAACTAAGGAATATTCTAAGTGAATATAAATAATCAAGCCTGGACCAGGAAAATCGGTGACTGACACTCGGATCAGAGACCAACGACATCGTGTACGGTGACATGAAGTACATCAAATGACCACCCATTCGGTCGCCTCATACGCCAGGCTTCAGTTGCTAGGGCCTCCACTTCCCAGGGATCCCCACTGGATCTGAATAATGTTTACAGATCTATGGAACTAAGGACTCCAACTGACATCGGATATGAGAAACACAGAACCGTACACAAATAATTGACAGCTTCCCATGAGCAGGTAATTCCAGAAACACAACATGGAATCAATTCTACAGTATTAGTGTTAGAAGTGTGGAGGGGTGGTATGGGACGCAATGTCACAAACGAATTAAAATATCAATTTTTGTTTTTTATAGCGAGAAGCGTGCATGTGTGTCTGCGTGCTTGCCTACTTGCGCGTGTGTGTGTTTGTATAGTCCTGGTTATATTGCCATCCCGCGGAGATATCATCCCGCAGTTGAATCCAGATGACCTATTCAGACACAGTAGAACGCCTCTCAGTCAACTTGTCCTTGTTTAATTCCCCAATGCGCTTGCCACCTTTATACATCTTTTGGTACAACGCGAGATCAACGTCCGACCTTTTCTCCGGACAGACCACCAAGGCGTGTTGGGCAGTAAGAAGATGTCAGTTATAATCGAGATATTGTTTTCACGGCACAGACGTACAAGATTGTCTGTCCATTGCAGCATTAAATATGGACACTAATGACTGGCCTCGCCTAGATGAAAAAATAACTGACTTTCATTTCACGACGAATGTATGCTATAGAAATACAGAGCTTCATGAGTTACAAAACTGATGAAGGGGCATTTCCCAATGTCTACAAATAATGTCAAATAGTGCTTAGAGGCTAGAGTGAATATGTCTATGAACTGTGTACGCGAACTAATCACTGAGATCTACCTTGTCTTGTATTCATCGGAAGCCCAACAGCGTCGCCTCAAACAGTTATTCTCGGTTAGTTCATCTGGACTCAGTCGGAAGCTAAACTTCAAAGAACGTTCATCTTAATCCATTTCAGGAGCAACCGCGCCTTTGGTTCATTTTCAAATTTTATGACTTTTGTAATAAGAGACTTTACACCCAATGACATTTATGTGAACGATGACGTCACGACAACCACAACTATTCCCGGTAACACACGTTTCTGTAATTACAGTGTGGTATAACGGTTCAAATAGAATGTTACTGTTATGAATTACGTATCGGTCAATATTGGGATTCTCCATCTTAGAATTTACTCACGTGCGGCACAGTCAGCAAAACCTGATGAAGATCAATTTATACAACACCAGTCCAGAATGGCAAATATACTCTCGGTATCTCTTTGCTCATGAAAAACGGTTTGATGTTATACAAACGTCACAAATGCAAATAACCTTGCAGCCTGACGCCAGACTCCGACGGCGTCCATCGGACGGGGTCATACAAACCAGTAGTTTATATTATAAACAAAGTTCAACTTCATCGATGCACATATCTTGTTCCATGCAAGGTTTGGAATATTTCAGATACTCAGGTAACTATTGATACCTAGCATTGTGGATACCACGTCCACATTAAGTCGCCCCTTCCGCAGACCTGGTTCAAGTAAAGACGAATCATGTACAGAGATGAGAACGTTACACTAGTGTAAGTGTGAGCGAGTGAGTTTGGTCTTACTCCGTCTTCGGCGTGACGAGCGAACGCTTTATCCACTGGGCTACCCCAGCCAGTCCTCTTTTCATTGGGGCATTAAACAATATATATGTCACTGCATTACGTGTCACATTACGTGTCACACCAGAAGTCATGCGGGTTTCAGACGTTTACAACTTGGGAGAGACCCTCAAGTACGGATGTGATTGAAATCGGGGTGGATCTGACACTCGAACGCCTGGCACGCCTTCGCAAGCGTTCGCTCATCACGCCGAAGACCCGGCCCGCCATGACGATCTGGGGCGTTCGGACTACAAGCCTTCCTGTATCCCCTATGTAAAGATAAAATGCCAGGAGATAACAGGTCAATAACCCATTGAATCCCAGCCTGTCTTCAAAGGCTGACTACAATCGTGTCCTCTCAGCAGACACGGGTGGTCATTTGGAACCATTACTCCGTCCAGTGTGCACTTGTTAGGAGCCAGGATCATGTAATATTGGCTGTGAAACATCCTACAGATGATCCTCGGTTTGTCAGCACCGGTCTTGTGGTATAAACATCTATCACTGTGGGATTTCCCTCCCATCAGGCTGACACAACGTGATACAAGCTGAAATACTGTTCAAAGCGGTGATAATTCCGACTCCTGTTAAAGTAATGAACCAGATCAGCGGGTCCTATGATCCTTAATCTGGAAGCATTATTAGATTCCTCTGATAAGAAAGAATCTGTATTGACTTGTGAGACGCATATTTGAAGAACAAATACCTCTGACCATTTCGGTTCTTAAAT